GCACAGAAATTCCAACATTTCTGTGCTTCTCGAGGATGGCAAATGGAAGCTGCCCAATCTGTCCTCTGCACCTGTCAATCACAGCTTCTTTAACTCTCCAGAACAAGATTCACTACTTCGAGAATTTAAAGATCAAAGGCATTTGCAGTGTCTCAATATGCCATCACTGTTGGAGTGACTCGTACAACCTGGTCATCTTTTTGTTACCTGTTCCTTCTTCGCAAGCTCAGTTTGGTCCTCCTGGTTCGCTGTTTTGTTGAATTGGGATCTTCCTCTTGCTCAGAATGTCACTCACAAACTGCATCGGCTCATCTTTCCTACTGTCCTCTGGCATCTATGGACAGAGAGGAACTCACCACTGCTGAAGTCACTTCTGGTGGGGGATAATGGATTTATCTGGTGCTCGGCTTGCTGATCTTGTTTCATCTAACATCGCGTTTCTGTTATTTATAGCCATCTGTTGGCTTTGTTTTATGCTTTCAGCTATTGCTTTTAAGGGTATGCCCTTGGTTATATGTTTTTTACCATATTGTTTTCATCAATAAAAATCCCATCTTATTCAGGGAAAAAAAAAAATTACTCTGATACCAATTTCAAGATGGAAATGATGAAAAATAAATTATAAAACAAGTGAAAATTTCATTCAAAATTCTGAGATTTTTCTTTTTTTTTGCTTGCAAGGTTAAGCAAACACAGACGCCTATGTCTTCACCGAGACTCAATCACGCGTCCTCTTCTTTGAGGAGGAGAATTTGTACCGACGGGACTATTTTAAATTGTTTTTCAATTAGATAGCTTGAAATTTTATTTTAACTATTAACATCGAAATAACGGAGTGAACAACACTTTTGACCATGTGTCCTCCTCTTTGAGAAGGAGAATCTGTACCGATGGAGTTATTCTAAATTGTTTTTCTCATTAGATGACCTGAAAAATTATTTTAACTATTAACATTGGAATAACAGTGAACAACATTTTTCACCACGTGTCTTCCTCTATGAGGAGGAGAATTTGTATTAATGGGCTATTCTAAATTGTTATTTCCATTAATTGACTTGTAAATTTATTTTAACAATTAACATTGGAATAACAAAGTGAAACAACACTTTCGAGTATAGAAATTAAAAAGACGCATGATTTCTTTTTAGTGGCAATGGCACTTACAAGGACCAATGGGTACAACCACCCCCACTTAAATTTTCTTTTATTTTAACTTTTGCGTATTTGTCTTTTCCTCTAATATTAAATACACCCCTCTAAAATTGTAAAATAATTATCTCTTAGAAGTCCCAAATGCAAATTGTTGCCCTTAAGGATTTCATCTACCGACAATCTAGGTGTTTTGATGATAACAACCCATTAATGGTGTTTAAGGACTAATGTTTACATTAAGTGTTATATATATCATTCACATTCAAGAACGATCTCAATGAAGTTATAAAGATCATTCCAAATATTCCATTATTCAATATCACATCAAAAAAATAAATAGATACAAAAAAGACTTGAAGTTTCAAGAAGCCAAATGTAAAGTCCATTCAAAGATAGCTTGGACTACAATAAACAAGCAAGCAACTCAAAGAAAGGAAGAAAGCAAGAGTACCTTAAAACTTAAACAATCATGGATAAAGCATGAAGAAATGGGTAGATAGGTTGGTGAGTGTTTAGGATTCAATATCAAGATATTTATGAATCCATTTGAAACTCATCTCTATAAGATCATGCATATCATCATTATCATTCACATGTTCCTATATCCATTAGTAATAGATTATGCACTTCATTCACATATATATTTGACATATGAAGTCATTGCTAAAGAATGAGTTACTTCAAACTTGCTTAAGATTTGAAAGAACTCAACACTTGTGCTAGAATGTTAGGACCATGCACATCAATTACATGATTTACTTTGGTCTCTAGAAAGTAAATGCGAAGGCTTAGAACTAAATTACTTATCTATAAAGCCTTCATTACCATGAGTTGGTAACAGACATTGGGACCCAGAATCCGCATTATAAAAAACTGTGTTTTTGGCTATGGCTAAGTGTGAAAAATAAATTTTTGAAATAATGATCATTTCAAAATAATTTTTCCTGGTAATAACTCCTTATACTTCAAATAGCCTAAACTAATTTTATTAAAATTTATGACCAAGTCTACATTGGTCTACATAAGGATTCATTTTTACCAAAACTGTCAGAAATTCAAATTTGTACTAAAACTGAATTTTTACATTTTGATTTAGTTGGATTTCAATTTTCTTATATTTTTTATTGAATCCAAATGGGGGTACTTCCTTATTTACATTGTAAACTTAAAGAAAATGGACATATAAATGAAAATAAGGTATGCTAAAAGACTGGCATCTAAACTGAAAACAGAACTGTCAGGACAGATTTTTTATAAAACAGAACTGAAAACAGAACCAACAAGGGACTTCGGCCGAAGGTACTCCATCAGTCGACCAACACAGCCACAAATCATTGAGAGTATTCTTTTTTTTTTTTTTTTGATAAGTAATCATTGAGAGTATTCTTAAGAGCATTAAAGAGTATTTAAGAGCATTCAAGTCTTTATTTGATCATTTATTCCATATATTTTATTTTCTTATATTATCTTAGAGATTTGAGTTTCATTTGATTCATATATCTACTCTAGTTGTGAGCTTATATTTGGACATCTATTTTAAGAGTGATTCAATTTTGTATTTCAATTACATACATTACTACAAACTTGTAAGGGTTGGTGTGACTCAAAAGAAAGCCTAGCAAGGAAGAGAAACAAGAGTTTGCTTCATGTGAAAGTTTGTTCTCCACCCTTAAGGAGAAGCTCTAGTTGATTAGAAAGTCTCAAGAGGAATCTTAAGTTGAAGAGTAGGAGTTTCCAAACCTCGCTAAAATCTCTAAGTCATTGTTTGTAATCTCTCATCCCTAACTCTCTTACATTTATGCTTTGAATTGCTTAATTATCCATATTGATTATTGTTTGATAGTTAGTTAGAAATCACTTTTATAAATTGCAAGAACTGGCTATTAACTCTATTCACCCTCCTCTAGAGTCAATTAGTGTTTAACACAAATAATCTATTTTAATTTTTTTGTTGAAGAAATTAAATTAATCACTGTATTTATGACTCTATTGGTTGTACTTATTCTATTTAGCTTTAGGGTTGATGTTACTTTTTCAAATTGGTATTTTAGCTTCGAGTTTTTTTTTTTTTTTGGCCTCCTTAGTGATAACTTATAAACTTTTATTATCATTATTAATAGGAGGACACTTTTACTATAAATATTGGGAAGAAAACCAATTTAAGTGGAATTATAAACTTAATGGAAATATTAACTAAAAGTAGGACATAGTTGTCCTTAAAAAATAAATAATAAAAATAGGACTTATTGGTCCTTACAATTGAAAAGCAAAATTAATAGGTCATTTTCACTAATGGTGCCTTATATTTGCTAATAAGAATAAACTTATTTTGAAAAGGACAAAACCGTTTGAAATAGAATATTTAGCATGTGGATTATGCAGTAAAAATTTTGGATGACAGATTTTTTATATTAAATTGTTGGATTTAGATAAACTTTTATATTCTCTTTCTTGTGATTAAATTTGACTAGCTAGCTACTAAATTTACATTTTCTAAAGAATGGAATTCGTGTTACTTTAAAACTAATGGTTTGCTCACAATTGATCAGAAATGAGATTACATAACGGAGGCCGACTAATTCTCTTCACGAGACTTGTGAAGCAAAAGCCAAGCTCCAAATTCTCAACTATTAAAATTCCGGTAGGCTGACTAATTCTCTTAGATTATGTTTGGTCACATATAATTCAGATCTTGGATTTAGAATTGATAGAATTGAAAAAAATAAAAATAATAATAATAATAATAATAATAAAATTAGTTTAATTTTATGAATTGTTTTTTTTAATTCTAAAATTTCAATTTCATGCAATCGAACATAGTCTTGAGAAACTTTTTCACCGGTCCAAGCCGAGCTATTTACTCCACTTTCTTCCACCATTTTTCCTTCTTTGGCCTTTTCCCCACATCACTGAATAAAACCCAATAACAATAACTATTGATCCCATCAGACTGCACAAAATTTATGAATACTGTGGTTATAATCTAACTCAACATTTTAATTAATCAATCCTTTTTTATGGGAAGAAATGAACAGCAAGAAGAACAGAGATTTCACTGCTTCCAAGATGGTAAGTATGGCTCAAAAAGTGGTACAAACAATTAAATACAAAAGTTTATGTTTAATTTAGAATTTCGATGTCTGACTTGATCGTCGGATGGTTTTTTGACAGGCACCGTATCAATATTAGTTAAAGGTCACATTATTAAATTTTAGATCACGTGAGAATTATTTCTTAAGAATTACTATCCGCGTTGGCATTTTTGACGATTCTATAATTATTTTAATTTAATAAAATTGGAATTTAACCATTTTTAACTGCATTCACACAATCATTAAAAGGACCTTTTGTCCACAACTTCCACTTTGTATTTTTCCGCTAGAACGTGTTTTTTTTGGTTGTTACGTGATTGATTGTGAACCATACCATACCAAATTTTTGCAATATTTAAAAATAAAACGCAATGATCGGAAGATTGTAAAAACAAAAACAAAAAAGAAATTATATTACTCCCATTTTATATTGATTTTAGAAAGAAAAAAAACTGCTACAATTGTTTAGTTATAGTAACAAAAACAAATAAAAATAATTTTTTTTAGCTTTTGGGATTAGATTTTTTCTTTGTTTATTTATTTATTTTTAATTGAAGCATGTGTGTAATTATGCAAAATTTAAAAAATGCTTTTATAGTCACTTATGTCCATTTTAAAAAATTTAGCAATAAAAATATAATCCACTTTGCATCGAAATTCTATGTATTTTTAATAATATAATAGATGTAATAACAATTGCACATTGATCGATATATTTTAAGTATATCGCAACATAAAAGAATAATAGATATTACATATTAAAATACAAAAAAAAAAAAAAAAAAAAAAAAAATCTCGTGCACAAGAAACATAGGAATTTCAAGAATTATTAAGGACGGATTTGAGGCCATTTTCTGTGTAAATTTCGAAATAATAGCATGAAATATGTATTTGCAATTCTCAATTTTTAATTTCACTTCTTAAACTTTTATTTAATCCCCAATTCTTTACCTTCAAATCCATTCGTTTATAAATATAAAAATTAAAATTAAAAAATGTTGTGGCAATCACGATCATCATGATTCGTTGAAGGCAAAACAACATTCAAAATGCATCCAACGATTCTGAGGGATTGGATGATCGAGAGCAATTTACAAGCGCTACACCCCAGCATCTCCTCTCTCTGATTTTGGAGGGAAATGCTGTTACGCCTCTGTGTGTGTGTGTGTGTATATAAGATTCTCTCTCCTCATTTCAACAGATTTTCGCTTTGAAGCTCTCTCTCTCTGCAACTATAGTTCGACTTCGAAAACAATCGGGAAATTAGGGCAAAACCGGTGATCGTCACTTTCTACAAGTAAACTCTCTCTCTCTCTCTCTCTCAACACACACTTCCACACAGACACACACACATATCATCTTCAATTTCAATTCTATCTTCAATTTTTATCTTAGTTTTAAGATTTCTTTAACTCGAGCTTTGTCAGATCCTTACGATCTATTGATTACGATCTCGTGATTGCGATGTATGTCTGTGAAGGTCGTGTGCGTATACACACACATATAACATCTCCAATTTGATGTATATATATATATATATTCTATATGCATAGATCTGTATTTATACGTCTATGAGATGACGATGATGATGATTTAGGATGATTTTCTGTAGAAACTTTCTAGTTGTTTTATGTTCTAAATTGAATCACTGTCCTGATATTCTGATTACACAAGTTGTTAAAGAACTTGTGGCTTATAGTATATAAAGTTCCTATGGTGTGTGCAAGATATATATGTTCATTAACAGTACATATTATAATTTCCTAGGTTTTCATAGATGGAATATAATACACTTGAGTAAACAATTGAAACATTTGAAGATAGAATTCAGAACGTTAGAGATGAAATTATCATCTGCGCATTGAATAATTTTGTAGTTGATCTTAAATTATTAAACAGTTAATATGTTTTGCGATCTCAAGCCGCCTTTATTTCTGTGGAATTGGTGAGGAAGACGGCATTTTGTATTAATTTGTGTACCTTCCCCTATGCGTAAATTTAAGTTCCCATTTTATTGACAGTGTTTGCAGCTGGGAGTTTTGATGTGAAATTGTCTATGACTTCTGCCATCTTTGGAAGAAATAAATTGCAGAGCTGTGAATAATACTAGTAATAAAAGCTACAGGGTGCTTTACGGGATTAAGGAAAAAGTGTTTGGACTTTGGATATAGTTGTCATCATTTCTTTGGTTCGTTACTGGTTGCTAGTGTACCTATGACTTGCTTTGTACTTATATTTATTTTATATATATATATATATATATATATATATATTGTTACCTACCAAAATAAAAAGTTAGAAAAAGAAAAAGAAAAAAGAAACAGAAAGTACTAAACATTGAAGTAAGTTCATTTGATGATATTTTGATTAGATCTCAACAACTATCAGACTGAACTTTACTACCATAATATATATTTTCTCCTTCCTGTTCCCATTTTGGTGTTCTTACATTTCCCACCATTTATTTTTGTGCTCTTAATATTATTCATGCTTCTCATCTAGTACAAAGAAAGTGCTGCTCTCTCGTTTCCACTTGATGAATTAAGTTTTTAGGCTCTAAGTCTATAGACAAACTAATCATTAAAATGGCTGAAAAAGGCTGCTGACATTTGAGTCAGGTGAATTGTTACTATTTTTTCTATCAGTCAGGTGAATTATTTGTTCCTTGTGTTTACTTAAAGATGCATTCTGTCAGCATGGAATAAATAGAAAATAAAAGTGAAGGAAAAACTGTGGACGCAAAAAGAAATACTGTTTCTTATTAATAGAAAAGAAAAGTGAAGGAAAAACAGCAGATGCACAAAGAAATTCTGAGAAACAGTATAGTGACTCGGTAATGAGTTTTTTGGTGCTTAGCATCTTGCTAAATAAGATTTCTTAGGAGGTTCTGGAGGTTATGTGGGCAATGGTATCTATAGAAAGAGGTGAAATAAGAATAGTGGGATGTATAATATCAATATTTAATTTATTAATAATCTTGCAACCTTTTGACATTTTGATTTCTGTAGCGATTGGTTAAAGAAAATGTAAAATATTTCTGCAGCGGAAGGAATAAAATGGGAGTTTTGGGTTTACTCTCTTTTTAAGCTAGGTATATTAGTGTTTTATACTTCAGGTGGTAATTTAACTAGTGTCGGAAGAACAGATATTTTGAAGAATATTATGCATGATAAATGACTCTACAACACATGCCCCAAGAAATGAAAAGGCAAAAAGGACATTTGTTCCCGATTGGATCTAATGAATTCCAGAAACTAATTTTTATAAATTTCTTTCATGTTTGTCCATCCATGGCTCCCTTTGGCATGTCTAGCACTGACTTCTTTGTTCAGGACTGAGAGTTTAGATACATTTGTTTATGGATAAGCACTCATTGCATTTCTGGCTTTTAAGTTCTGGTCAAGTGTCCCTTCAAATGTTTTCTTTTGGCACATCTGGTTTCATTTCTTTTTCTATTTGTAATGGTTAAATTTTTGGAAGTTCCCGAGTTGATTTCTTTGTTCATTAGTTCATTTCTTTCTTCTCAATGCAGATTTGTGGTTTGCAAGCTTTTGAGTTTCTTTGTATTTCATGACTAACAGCTGTCCTATTTTGAGGGTTAGCTTGATTTTATGTTAACATATCCATTTATTTTCCCTTGTTAATTGACCGTTTATTAGTTATCCATTTTCCAATTTTTCCAGATCAAAAACTTCAGTTTTTCTATTTGGTGGTCCTGTTTGACTTGATAAATGGACAAGAAGGTAGGGTTTCTTACTTCTAGTTTACTTTGATGCTACTCCAAGTCTCCTTGCATGGTTGCTCATCCATTTGGATTTGCAGTATGAGCTGATTGAGAAGATTGGAGAAGGCAGTTTTCATGTGGTTTACAAGTGCCGTGATCGCGTGACCAAAAAGACTTTTTCTCTGAAGAGGATTTCCTTTAGAGGTGAAGAAGAAGGTGTCCCTAGTTCAGTAATAAAACAAATCTCGCTTTTGAAAGGACTGGATCATGTCAGTATCATCAGGTGATACTCATTTATTGTAATTGTTATGACAAATAGCCAATAATGAGATGAAAGAGTAATGTTTAAAAAATTGATAATTTTTCCTCTTCTTGCTTCCTCTTTTTCTCTTTTTTCCATTGATACTTGGTTAAGAAAGTTATGGAATCTTGGTGCAAGTTACAAGACTGAACTTTTTCTCTCTCTTAACCAATCAAAAAGAAAAAAAAACAAATTAAAATACCTCTGCCTTTTTTATATTAAGAATTGGTGAATTAATTGTTGATTTCTTTGGAAGTTTTGAAGTGGGCGGGTGGGGATGGAGAACGTCCACCTAATGCAGAGAATGAATTTGTCTTGTATAATGCCGTGTAAATAGTATAATCGCGTTTTTTTTCCTAATGACAATTGATCACGAAAATGCAAAACTTAGGATACACTTGGTTGGTGTCAACGGTTGCTCCATAGTATGCCACCTGCCATGCAACAGCAATATTGTTGAAAATTAAATAATATCTTTTGTAACTTCGTTCATACTCTCTGCACCTTACAGAATTAGTACTCAAAGTACAAAAGTATCTGAGTACCTTTAATGGTTATTTTTTCTTTTCAATTCTCTTTGTTGACTCATAGGGGTGTCCTCACCCTTAGGGTGAGACCATTCTCCCTTCTGACAATTGGCAGGTCCCAATGTGTCATTATGTGAGGCGTCAAACCCAGGACCTCTGCCTCGTGAGTCATGTTCTTGGCCAACAACTCCACCCCCTTGGGGTTACCTTTAATGATGTTTGCGTATTCTATAAGCAGAGGCGTGTATCCAATAATTAATAGAAGTATAAACAGTTTTGAACTTAATTTCAACATGCCTTTAGATGACTTATATATGTGTGTGTGTGTGTGTGTGTGTTTGTGTTTGTATATATATAGTCATGTGATCTGGTCTATCTGAAGGCATATCATTCATAGAATCATAAGCATTCATATCTTTTCTCACCTGCTCTATCCAATTTTTTTGCCACTTGTGTTGTTCTCTTGGTTTTCCTGTTCTCTTGGTTTTCCTGTACTTGAATAAAACGAGTCTCACATATTTGTGCATTCTGTTAGTGTTTGTTGCATGTTGCACCTCCATTTGACTTTTCTTGTCTTTCGTTTGATGTTTACCTCCTCTAACTTCTCAAGTATGCCATTTTTTCTTTTGATTATGAATATGATAGAGTCTATGTAGTGTAAAATCTTCAGATGATAAATTGATTTTTGGCCATCTGTTTTCGTATCCATCAGATAGAAATTATTTTGATTTAGCATGTATGAAGTACCAAAATCAAATCTTATTAAACCATGTTAATTTTTTTGCCAACAGTGAGGTATTACTTTCATTTAGAGACTAATCACATAAATTAATTGCTTACATTTAAATTACCGTATTAGTTATCTCATGCTGATATATCATTTCTTGGCAACACTTACATTTGTGAGACTAGGAATTTATGCTACTTTCAGAGTGCAAGGTTTGGTTCCATACTTGTCCTGAAATGCTAGGGCTAATTATTTATATGCAATGTAAGATTTGGTTTAGTTATGAAATAAAAATTAAGTCAAAGAAGATTTCCTGATCGTTTATTCTTTTTAGAGCAGTGATACTCGTCTCAAACACGAACTAATAAAATGTGGTTTGTGGTATCTTCTTTCTCGGGACTCCTTCTTTCTTTAGACTCAGCTACAACAGATATTCTGCCATCACAACACTGAATCCCCAACCTCAAACATCACTACTTCATCAGCATCTTGCCCGACTCCTTCACCTGATCTGGCCAACCTCCCCTGCCTCAACAACTCGTCCACTAATATCCATGCAGTTCTGGACTTGATCAAGAACATCAAACCAGTTCAAGTATGCTTGAAATTGTCTTGACAATTGCCAATTTTATGGAAGGGCAAAACTTGGAATCCTTCCATGAAGATTATAATTTTTTTTTCCCCTTTCAAATCTTCTTGATTCTTTCCATAATACATTTCAGAAAATGATTGTCATAATTTTGGATATAGATGTTGAAACTCATGGAGGTCCAATCTCCTTAAAACGTAGACTTTCATACTGTAATGGTGCAATGATCAAAACGTAGCAAGATTAGGTTTTCCAAAATGTGAGGGAGAAAATAGGTGTTGCACATACTAGTGATAAGCTTAGAGAGAGTAGACTTAGGTGGTATGGACATATACACAAAAAATCTATATATGCACTGGTGAGAAGAAATAGTATAATTTGCATAGAGGGTATGAGGCAAAGAGGGCTCCCGAAAGTGACATGAAATCAAATCATTAGAAATGACTTTAAAAAGTTAAATATTAGAGGAGAGATGGCTTGTAATAGAAAATAAGGAGAAAGAGAATTCATTTATTCATATGGGATTAAGGCAAGGATAATGATGATGATTAGGGTTTTCCTTTTTCAGTGGAGACCAGGTTCCAACTACGGTTGGACAAATTCATCAAAACATCACCATTGTTCTTATCTTATAGGATGATTTTTTGTTATCGGAGAATTGTTTTATCCATGTAATAAATGAATAAACAAATTGCTCTTAATTACCGATGTGGAATAGCCACGTCATTCATAATATAGATCACAAATTTTCTTTTGTGTTTTTTAGTGTTATGTTTCGTTTTGAAGCTTGCAGTTAGTCTCATAAATTTTAACCCTCGAGAATCAGGTAACTTCAGAACTGTTCTTGTTTTCCTTTCAGCATAGTGAGAGATGGCAATAAATGTTGCAACTTTTTAGTCCTTGGATAACTTATTTAGTTTTTGCTTTGTCTCTCTCTTCTTCTCTTGGGACACTTTGAATGTGTATGTGTGTTGTTGTTATTATGAGCCCCAAATTTGGTGAATTAATCACATTTCTCAGAGGCAAAATCATAACTTACAGAGTCACAGGGGGCGAATGGTCCCATTGTGTGTCTATAGAACTAGAAATGAAAACTTATAAATCTAGAATTGCGTCATTGTAGAAAATGAAAGGCTTCATCACTTTTTGTGATAATCATTACAAACCTGTCCATAAAGTAACAATCAAATTTTATGACATTGTTTTTAAGATAACTCCTCTCTCTCTCTCTCTCTCTCTCTCTCTCTCTTTTCCCTTGTAATGGCTCTATTTGAGGCGATGGATGTATTCCTAGGAATGCTATATATTATCTAGAACTCAATGGGGCCATTGTATTCGTGTGGGAGTCGTGGGAGTTGCATGGCTTATCGGAAAAATAGTAATAATACTAATCTGTGTAATGGTGTTTCTACAATAATTTATATTTTTCCTGGGTATTATTTGTGATGTATTAATCTTGATACCTTGTGTATCATACAGTACAACAGACATTTCTAGATTTCTTTTTGGCATTTTATGCTACATCACACTTCTAAAAATACTTGTACCAAAATGAATATATTAAGGAGGGCTAACTTTCCATTCTCTTTTAATTGTTATTCTGGTTGATGGATGTATGTAGAACTTGATTGTCTCATGAGTATAGTGCGTCATTCAGAAAGGCCCTTATCTATTTATTATAATTAAAATTTTATTGATTGAGAACAGTAGGAAATCTCTTGTGTTTGATTTATCGTTATATTTTTCTATTAACTTTCTTAATTTCTTGAACATCTGACAACATGTAAACAGTATTAATTTTGTTATAAAAAAATATATAATATATATATGTGGAACTTTGGAAACAGGGTACTTGATGTAATAACCCTTGGGACACACGCGGATCTCATTTCTAAGTTTCAGGACCTTGACCTGTCAAAGTTCATTGCTTCTTATTCTGAGATTGCAAAGGATCAACAAATAATAAAGGTGGGTGAGAGCTTTCTGCTTGCGTTTCTGGAAATTGATGACTTCTGTCTGTGACTTAAAAATAAAGCTAGACTGGTGCATTGGTGAAACGTTATAGATGTTTATGACCTTTTCTTTCACTTCTACAGATCGATAAAGTTTCCTTTATTGTATGAATATTTTATATTTGACTCTAGCACTTTTCTATTGTTGTGACATGATAGCACTTGAGGTGGTTTATTTATAAATTCCATGATAACGAATCTTTTCAATTTTGTGTGGTCTGATAAAATTGAGTTATAACATGATCAGAAACTGAATAAGAACGAAGGATACTGACTAAAACTCCATAAGGTTTTCCAAATGCTCTTTTTTTATGTTTCTTCTTTGTTACTGTTTATTTATTTGTGTTTTTATAAATAATTATATATATTTTTAGTTGCAGTTTCGCAGTGTTTGTCTGCAGTTACTTTGGATAGTTAGTTGAGATGAGAATGACGATTACCTTTGAACATAATTTCTCTGCAGCGGTTTCTCTATCAGATTCTCTGTGGTGTTGCTTATTGTCATTCTCATAAAGTAATCCATCGGGATTTGAAACCTAAGAATTTGCTGATAGATATCGACAAAATGGTCATTCAGATTGATGACTTTGGATTTGCCAGGGCATTTGGTGTTCCTCTTACGAACTACATTGGCAAGGTATGTCACTGATCATTACAATTATCCTGTTATTTGTCCTTTTTGTATACCTGATTGTTTTGGTAAACAAATTTTCACTTGCCGAATATGTAGGCTTGGAAATTGCACAATTCGAATACCACAACTTAGGAGACATTTAGATATGCCTTTCTTTATAATGTATAACAATAAAGAAATAACTGGTCCCAAAAAATAAATGTTCTAGATTGCTCCTTAGGGGACATTTTTACATTATGCATTGTAATAAGAAATCATGTTTATGAAATTTGTTACGTTCGTTTTCCTTAATGTTGGCTCGGTGTTTTGGAGTGATGCTGAGATTTTTCCTTCATGGGCATCTAGATGTTTCCTGCATACCAAAAAATTCTTTTTCTTTTATTGATTTTATCAAGAAAAGCTGTAAATTGTAATGAAAAATTATTATGCTTCCTGAATGGGGTTGGTGGAGTGGAGTAATTCTAGTTCCACTTGGAAAACAAATGTGTTCATTATCTTTGTGAAACATTGATACTCTTATCATTGTATAACTAGATTAATACAAAAAAAAATAATAATAATAAAAATAAAAAGGTTATTCTCCTGAGTCCTGACATTTGGCGCAGTGACCGAGAGAAATTTGGGAAGTTCTCCTCTAGGTGTCTTAAGTTTTCTAAATCCATAGTAGTTGGAAAAGTACCATTCTTTCTCGATGTTGTTTGGATGATAAGAAAAAACTGATCGAGTACACTCTAGAGGTCGTGATTAGGACCTTACTAGGAAAGGAAGTCCCTTGCAAATGTAATGTTGATGGATTAGGTTCTAGTGGGGTTGTCTTTTCCTACGAAACGTATCAATACATCTTTAAATATACCATGATTTGATAACTTTTTGAGAAACTTTTCAAACATCAGTCGACTTGTTTATCACATTGTCTATGATTTTGATACGTTTGAAGTGCACTCCAGGACGCAACTCTAGGATACAAGGCACCCGAACTCCTCCTTAGCTCCAATTACTCCACTCCAGTTGATGTGTGGGCTGTGGGGTGTATATTTGCTGAGATGGTGACCCATCGACCTCTGTTCTGTGCAGAAAGTGAGATTAATGTATTGATGGACATATTCAGGTGCTAATAATTTAGCTCACAAAAACCAATTTTATGTGCATATCCATTTTCCATCTCAAGTTCAGCACTCATATTGACATCTACATTCCTGTACGAAGCTTGTTAGGTGTGCCAACTGAAGCAACCTGGCCTGGAGTGACTTCATTATGTCGCCACATTGCTAACGTACCCCCGGTAATAGAGATTTTGAGCTTGCTTTGTCTTTTTGATCTTCCTGTCACGGAATCTTCAAAAAGGTACCTTTCGTTCTCACCTTGTTTCTCTTCTGCCAACAGTTCCTCCCTCAATATACACGAAACCTTAGAGACGAGGTCGCTGGACTTGAACCTGCTGGATTGGATCTTCTTTCTGTAAGTTCTGATTTTGCTATACCTAACTAACTCTGTTTCTAACCCTGCCCTAGCAAGTCCGTCTGATCACCACTCATGTTAAATTAAGCTTTCTAGTTTGAAATGTTACTGCGTTTTGAAAGTGACGGAATATTTAAAATCTAAATTATATGTGGTACTTTGGTTATTGTTTTGCAGAAAATGCTGTGCTTGGATCCAAGTAGAAGGATTACTGCTGCTGATGCTTGTCAGCATTCTTACTTCGGAAAGGGCTCTGCTGGTACTTGATTCCCCATTCCTTCATCCATTTCTGTTGCTGGATTGAAAACTATAGCAATGCCGATATATGGTTTATATCAACACAAGACTCTATGCGGATTAGTTCATGCATGTACCATCACCATCTACGATGTTTGATGTGATTCTTCGTTTCCACTCAACTACGAAAATAAGTACATCACTTGCATAGGCACTATTTGCACTTGTTAGAAACTATTACGATAACAAGGTGTTGAATGTTGCTTATGGTGCCACTTTTTTAAACTCAGAAACCAAGTGCGAACGCAAAAAGAAATTATGGAAAATTTTCATTTTTCTTTGTTTGGTTGTCTTGAAATATTGTGAAGAAAAGATTACAGGAAAGAGAGAGGAAAGAATGTCATGAAGAGGACATAAAATCGGTGCTCTCATGAATGACTACTCTTTGCTTTCATCTATTTGTTGGTCTGCGTTAGTTGTACTGCTTTTTATCAGAGTTGGAGTATCTTGTTGGTAGCTTAATGATGCTATTTGGGATAGGTCCAGGGGAAAAAAAATGTGAATGGACAATCTTGGGAAAGCAGTATAGGGAATTTGTCTGGTTGATAGTTTTAGAAACACAATCACAAAAACAAAAACAAAAAAAAACACACACACACACACACACAAACACACATTTCCATTTAACAGCCTGAAAACTTTCTTCTTCTTTTCAGATAATTGAACCAAATAGATCCTGAAAACTTACTGTGTATGTGTACATAAATATGTGTGGTGGGAAATTGTCTTACATTTATGTTCTAAACAATCGAATGCTCGCTCGTTCAAAACAAATGGGTTGTTCTTAATGGATCAGCAATGGGATTACATAACGTAGGCTGACTAATTCTCTTAATGAGACTTAGTGAAGCAAATGCCGAGCACCAAATCAACCTCAAAAATTCCCAACTTTTGAAATCACTGTAGGGGCTCCTTTTGTAATTTTTTCTGCAAGGGATTACAATGAATGCTCCTGTAATTGACACTGCAGTTCTGATGGATTTAGCGATACTTGAGCTTCTGTAATCTAGTTTTTCCATCCTATAATTCACCCATTTAAATGATATTAGGCCACTACATGGTGCCCTCGAATGCTGCATTTCAGCAAGACTGGACGCCAAATTCTGCAAGGGGAACCAACACATTCAAAGAAAAGATGCTTAGCTGATTCTGGCGGGGAATGACAGTTTGATTCTAGAGAGGAAAGAATGCCACAGAGTGGAAGGATGCTTTGGGATATGACTAGAGAACATTGGGCAATCCTAAATTGGGGTGCACAAAGAACCAGTAGAACCGAACTGGAACCAGAACCGGTGCTTCGGCTCCAATTCTAATTTTTAGGAACCGTTAAATAATTATAAATTTATGTTTTTAATTATATGATTACTAATATATGTCTATTGATGCATACAAAGGGATATATATATATATATATATATATATATATATATATATATATATATATATATATATAAAATGCACTACAGGAACCGGAACAGAACCGGTTCGGTTCGGTTCCGGTTCCATGTCCCAACAATTCCCGTTCCATTTTCTAGGAACCGTTGGAACCGGTTCAGGTTCCTCGAGCACCCCTAATCCCAGTTGTGTACAACTTGCTTTATGAATAGATCAAATCTTATTCCATGGTATTTACATGAGGTTTTTCTTTCTGGTCCTTAAGCAAGTCTATCATGGGGCTTAGATATTGACAGCGAAACAACCTGAAATTTGCCTTTCGTATCAAAATAGTACCAGAACATCGTTATGTTAACCTGTTAAATATCAACATTAGGAGTTACAAAGAAGACGAAACAATCAATTTTTTGAGCATGAAGTCAAAAATTTTGTTAAACCCACGGGAAGCCAAATTATATATCACCCAAAGCAATATAATGCAAACTAGACTAGATCAGTTCAAATTCATAAATGTTATCCACCAGCAGATAATATCATAATATAAAAAAATATGCGATTTCAAGATTGAAAAGAATCTGTGTATTGCCGTACTTTGAATGGTTTACAATGCTTTAGTTAAATAGGAAATACAGGGAGCTAACAAAAGGAAACTACAGGCTGACTATAGGCTGTAACAGCAAGCTACAGGCTGTAATTACTGGATGTATACTAACAGAAGCTACAGGCTGTACACTAACAAAATTTCCTAATCTTAATCATTGACTATCTATATTTACACACCTATCATATCCCCTAAAATTTGGTCTTATTAAAACCGAATATCTCTTTTTCAACACTCCCCCTCAAGCTGGCTTGTAGATGTCTTCCATAGCTAGCTTGCTTCTTAAAACTTCAAACTGTCTCTTGTGTAGTCCTTTGGTAAGGATGTCTGCAGCTTGTTCAGTAGTAGAGACATAAGGAATGCAAATCATACCACAGTCAAGCTTTTCCTTGTTAAAGTGTTTGTCAACTTCCACATGTTTGGTTTTGTCGTGGAGGACTGGATTATGAGTAATTGAAATGGCAGCCTTGTTGTCACAGTAGACTCTCATTGGAGGAGAAACAGTAACCTTCAAATCTTCAAGGAGTCTTTTTAACCATATAGCTTCGCAAATCCCATGGGCGAGTGCTCTGAACTCGGCTTCTGCACTACTCCTCGCTACTACATTTTGTTTCTTGCTTCGCCACTTGACTAAGTTTCCTCCAACGAAGGTGCAATATCCTGAGGTAGATCGTCTATCAACTATACTGCCTGCCCAATCAGCATCTGTGTACACCTCCACTTGCAAATGACCTTGTTTCTTGAACATAAGTCTTTTACCTGGTGAGCCCTTTAAGTACCTCAGAATCCTGTACACTGCTTCAAAGTGTTCCTGTCCAAGAGAGTGCATGAACTGACTCACCATACTGACTGCAAATGATATATTTGGGCGTGTGTGAGATAAGTAAATTAGTCTTCCCACCAATCTCTGATATCTTTCACGATCAACCATATTCTCGGGTTTGGCAGCTTCTAACTTTAGGTTGACTTCAATTGGAGTGTCAGCAGCTTTACACCCGAGTAGTCCTATCTCATTAAGCAAATCAAGTACATATTTTTGTTGATTCACGAAAATTCCTTCTCTTGACCTGGCAAATTCCATTCCAATGAAGTATTTTAATGCTCCCAGATCTTTGACTTCAAAATCTTTAGCAAGTTTCTTCTTTAGTCTGGTCAACTCTTCAATGTCATCACCTGTCAAAATTATATCATCCACATACACAATTAAAACAGCAATTTTCCCTTCCTCACCGTGTTTGTAGAATATGGTATGGTTTGCCTGACTCTGATGATACCCATGACTCTTCACAGCCATTCCAAAGCGTTCAAACCACGCTCTTGGAGACTGTTTCAAACCGTACAGGGATTTTTTGAGTTTACAGACTTTGCTCTGACCGTGTTTTCCTTCGAACCCAGGTGGCAAGCTCATAAACACTTCTTCTTCCAAGTCTCCATTTAAAAAGGCATTTTTTATGTCCAACTGATGTAATGGCCAGTTAGAATTGACTATCAATGACAATAAAACTCGGATAGAATTTATTTTTGCTACATGAGCAAACGTCTCTTGGTAATCAATGCAATGCATTTGCGTAAAATCTTTCCCCACAAGTCTTGCCTTATACCTTTCCACACTACCATCAGCTTTACACCTTAATAGTGAAAACCCATTTACACCCAACAGTTTTCTTTCCTTTAGGCAAGTCAATTATCTCCCACGTTCCGTTCCTTTTAAGCATTCATCTCCTTTAACACTGCTGAGTTCTAATTCGGATCATCTAGTGCTTCCTGAATGTTTCTTGGAACAAACAAGTGAGAAATATTTAATGTAAAAGCCCTATGTTTGGGAAAGTTTATCATAAGACAAGTATTTGGCAATGGGATACTGGGTACAGGTTCAGATTCCTTTTCTAACAACTATAGGGATATCAATGTCTATAGGAACTTGGCTAGGTGACTCTTTACTATCAGAAATAGTAGGAACAAGTTAGGATTTAGAGTATCTTGAGTGTTCAGGGAGTCATTGCTCGGGACCTCTGATTGGCCTTGCTCAGGTACAATAGTAGGCTCTCTACTCTTTTGATGAGTCTTTTTCCTGTTATAAACCAGAAGCTTAGGATTCGATTTTTTTAGAACGGTTGGTAGGATTTCTCCCCCTGTTGGAGATACAGTAAGGCTCGGCAGATTAGTACTAGGAGGCCCCGGGTTTCCTGATTCTAGAACATCATTTCCTTGTTTAAAAAGATCAGTGTTCGGAGTAATAGAGTGTGAGACAATAGTTTTAGGTAAGGGAATATTAATAGAAATCTCCCAAAAATTTTCTTCACTCTCTTTCTCCCCCTGAAGAAAAGTTTTCTGAAAATAAGGATGATTTTCTAGAAAAAAGACATCCATACTGATAAACATTTTTTTTTTGTTTTCAGATTGAAGCATTTGTATCCCTTTTTATTCGGGGTATACCCAACAAATACACATTTTTCAGCCCGAGGATCCAATTTAGACCGAAGTCTACTAAGTAATGGACAAAGACAGTGCACCCAAATACTTTCAAAGGCAAGTTGGAATAAATCCGAGTTTCAGGAAAAGACTTTTTAAGGCTTTCAAGGGGTGTAAAATAGTTAAGAATACGAGTAGGCATCCTGTTAATCAAATATGTTGCTGTTAAAACGGCTTCACCCCACAAATACTTAGGAATATTCATTGAAAACATGATGGCACGAGAAACTTCAAGTAAATGTTTATTCTTTCTTTCAGCTATTTCGTTTTGTTGGGGCGTGTTAACACAAGTGGATTGGTGAAAAATTATTTTTTCTGTTAAAAAACTTCCTAAAACTTCATTGAAGTATTCGGTGCCGTTGTCAGTATGAAGAATGCCAATTTTTGTTTGAAATTGATTTTCAATCATCATATAAAAATCCTTGAATAATTTTTCAACCTCAGATTTTTCAGTCATTAAATACACCCAACACAAACGTGTATGATCATCAATAAAAGTCACAAACCATTTTTTTCCAGAAAGAGTTGTGATCCTAGAAGGGCCCCAAACATCGCTATGGATTAAATAAAATGGTTTTGATGTTTGGTAAGGTTTGGGAGAATACGTAGTACGATGACTCTTTGATAAAAAAACAATTCTCTCAATAAAAAGATGAACAATCCAATCCTTTAAACAAAGTAGGAAATAATCTTTTAAGATAAGGGAAATTAGGATGCCCTAGTCTAAAATGCCATAGCATTATTTGTTCTCTAACAGGGATAGAATGAAAACTACTCAGACCTTGAGCCTTTTTATTACTTGAAATATCATCTTCAAAATAGTAGAGACCATCTATCATCTTAGCACTGCCAATCGTCTTCCCCAAGCTCTGGTCCTGAAATTCACAATAGGATTCAAAAAAGTTAACACGACAATTAGAGTCTTTGGACAATTTACTAATTGATAAAAGGTTACAAGCAAGCTTAGGGACATGAAGGACAGACTTAAGATCAATAATTTTTGAAAGTTTTACCAAACCTTTGCCTGCAATAGGAGAATAAGAACCATCGGCTATTCTGATTTTTTCAGAGCCAAAAACAAGGTGAAAAAGTTTGAAATAAATGAGAAAAACTTGTCATATGGTCAGAAGCCCCTGAATCAATGATCCATGGGGTAACACTGGAATTTGAATGACAAGATAAGGCCTTCGGGTTGTTACCTGTTTGAGCAAGAGAAGCATTAGGAGTACCAGATGATGAATTGAATTTCAGCAATTTTAGAAGATGATCCATCTGTTATTTGCTGAAGGGAAGTGCCTCGGCTTCATGAGCTGATGGGGCTTGGTTGAATCTACCTTCCTGCTTACTCTTCCAATTCGCTGGTTTACCATGAATTTTCCAGCAAGTTTCACGGGTATGGCGAGGCTTGTTGCAGTGGTCACACCAAAGACCGGGCTTTTTATTATGTTTCCTGCCAATATTCGCTTCAGATGCGACCAGGGCAGAGGTCTCAACAGCACCATTTGATAACTTTTTTCCAAGCATGACCAGCCTGCGACTTTCCTCTCTTCAAACCACGGAGAAGACTTCACCGATTAAAGGCAGGGGCTGCCGTCCAATTATTCTGCCTCTCACTTCATTAAACTCGACATTGAGTCCAATGAGAAACTTGAAGGTGCGGTTGTCTTCCACCTTCTTTTTGTAATGGTTGCAATCTTCAGGCGATTTCCACTCATAATCGCTGAACAAATCAAGGTCTTGTCACAAACGTTTTAGAGAGTTGAAATATTTTGTAACACTGTTATCTCCTTGACGGATCTCTCCGACTTTCAGCGTTAGTTCATAGACTTGAGACTGATTTCCTAGGTCTGAATACATCTGGTTGACATTGTCCCAGAGTTCTTTTGCTGTGTGGTAACACATATAATTAGAATTGATGTCCTCCTCCATAGAATTCACCAACCAGGTCATCACCATTGAATTCTCTGCATCCCAAGTCGAGTAGGATGGATCTTCAGGTTTCAGTTCCTTCTTTTCTCCTGTCAGGTAGCCGATTTTGCCTCTGCCTAGGATGTACATCCGCACAAACCGGGACCAGCGAAAGAAGTTTTCACCATTTAGCCAAATTATGGTAATCTGGACCGAGTGTGTTTGAGAGTTTTGGACTTGGGACTCAAAGGTCTTGGTCTTGGACTCAGGTACATCATCAGACATGGTGATTAGGGTTGTTTGGAAGAGAAAAAAAAAAAAAGACGGCTAGGGGGTGTTCTTTTTTTTTTTTTCAGAAGAATCGGTAAGATGCTCTGATACCAAATAGGCGATTTCAAGATTGAAAAGAATATGTATATTACTGTATTTTGAATGGTTTACAATGCTTTAGTTAAATAGGAAATACGAGGGACTAACAAAGGAAACTACAGGCTGACTATAGGCTGTAACAGCAATTTACAGGCTGTAATTACAACATGTATACTAATAGAAACTACAGACTGTACACTAACAGAAGCTACAGGCTGTACACTAACAAAATTTCCTAATCTTAGCCATTGACCATCTATATTTACACACCTATCATATCCCCTAAAATCTGGTCTTATTAAACCGAATATCTCTTTTTCAACAAAAAAAAAAAAAAAAAAAAAAAAAAAAAAAAAAAACTGTCAAAAAATTAGAACAATAGCCTAAAATATAAATTCAAGGGAATACATCAACTTCAGTTACAGCAAAAAAATAAAATAAAATAACAATTTCCACAGCCAACAACAAACACCCCACAACTATAGAAAGTTCACATCCCAAATTGGTTATTGCAAATCTACTTGGTGAAAAAATTGTGCTTACAATTATAAAAATTAAATTTCTCACAAGTTTATTGATATAATGGGAACATTATCATATGAATAACTGAACAAATTGCAGCATGACATTGGTTGTATTCCTGTCTATAGTCGCACTGTAATTTTTAATATATTCCCCACTTCCCTCCACTTTTGTGGGGTTAGAACCAGTCTTTATGTAAACTTCTAACTTAGAATTATTTTTCAAATACCGTCGTACTTCATCATTAAGCTTGTATGTTCTTTTCTTCAGTGCTTCTCTCAGAATTTTCCTTCCTGTAAGCTTGAAGCCTCTCTTTCAGTTTTTTACTATCTTCAAAGTTAGCCTTCCGCTTCAAAGCTTTCTGCGAAAGGAAAGAAAGAAACTATTGAAACATTCTGCCATCAGAGAGAAACAAAATACCCAGATGAACCAACAAGCCAGTGGCCTAGGAGTACCAAGCTCCTACTTTCCAAAGAGAGGTCAGGGGTTCAAGTCTCGGTAGAGGCATGTGTGTGTGAGTACCAATTAAAAAAAAAAAAAAACTCACTTCTTGCCGGAAACAGCGATCAAGCTTTATCTTGAGGTCAGTGCATTCACCAAAGAATTTCGCAATAGGGTGATCCAAATGACATTTTTGGAACTGCTCAATAATCTGCAGCGAGTAAGCAAATCAAAAAATTGTATATAAAAACATTTGCCAACTTGCTTTCTTGCATAGTAATTAATTAAAAAAGAAAAAGCAATTCCCCTGGCCACAAGAAATTACATCACATTATCATCCAATGAAGTGGCAGGCAGGGTACATGCCTAACCTTTAGCATTGTTTGCACAAAATAGCCATCCCTAAGGCTCAAACCCACAGTTTCACATTTTAGCAGTTGAAAATTGCGTTGGCAAAATCAACTTCCCCTTACATCACCCTACTCTCGTCCAAACATTTTGAGGTTGAGTCCACTTATCCTCTTTTCACAGTATAAAACCAAATCTTCGTTCAAAACACCGGTGTTCATTCAAAAAATTCAAGACTTCTTTAGATAAAGAGTTGACCATTAAGATTTACAAATGCCTATCTGCGTGGGACAACCCTCCTTGCTCTAGGCTAGGAACAAGTCAATAAAAAAATTGACCTCGTAGCATTATTGTGTGCAATAATCAATATTAAATGGATGATACTCCAAAGCGTTTGAAGTAACCGCATGGACACTATACACCTCAAATACGGACATGGAAATGTGTTTGGCATTCCAACAGAGGAAAAGGAAGGTGTCTTCTTAATTTGTTATCAGTTCTACTGTCCATTTCCACTTATCAAGAAAAAGTTTCACTGGCCATTTTTTAAATATGTTCGTAGTCTTTGTCTTGGGTGTTAGAATGAGGTTAGTACTCATAATCGAGACCGTGGTTCAACAATTCCTCATACAATATCATAAGAATGAAAAAAAAAAAAATATAGAAAAAGAAAGTTTCAACAACCCAACCGTTTTCCCGCATAAAAAGAAATGAGAATCAGACGAATCTATTAACTAGACACATGCCCACACCAACACTTGGCATAAATGTTGCACCTAACAAATACTATTACATATAGTACAATTTAAGTAATCCATTCCAAGACATGAACCATAAAAATGTTTTATAAGCATAGAATAATCATATACATACAAGGAATGAAGGAGAACATGAGAGAAGCAAGATAACTCACTTCGGCACACATTGGATGCCTATGTAACGTTAAAGGTGGATGCATTTCTTCTCCTCAAGAATTCAAACTGCAAATGATAACAATCACATTTTCTTCCTTTAGCTTACAAGCAAGGAAACAAATACTGGTGTATAGATAAGAAAAATCAGACAAACATGTTTAAAAACCCATACAATCAACAAGGAGGCTATTGTTGCTGAGAATTATCAAGTGCTATTCCAATCATAATTTGCCAATCAAACACAAATTCAATTTTATAAGATAAAGTTTCAAGGCAAGCACAAAAGTAGACTGAAAATTATAAACGTTGTTAGAATCCTCAAAGTAGCATACAAAACTATATCTTTACAAAATACTTTCAGTTTAGCACAAGTACTGAAATTGTAATTAATCACTTACCCATCATAATTATGTAAAATCAACAACAGGGCAAGTGATAATAATTCACATATGCAACACATATATCTGCATATATGTAAAGACATGTAGGCGCAGTATTTGAGTTCTTCAAAAATCACAACCAACTACATGGCAAGAGAAAATTATACATGTATACACTTGTCAAATATATACACACACGCATTAATAGACATAGACCTAAAATTCAGACCCTCCAAAATCAAATTTGCAACTTGTAACTTCGAACATATATGCGGATACATACCTATGCGCCTAATTGAGTTGACAACAATTACTGATAGTAGAGAAACCTAAAATGTAATAACGAGAAAAAAAGTTGATTGAATGCAAGCAAGTAGAGCAAGAAATGGAAGGGGAAAAGGCAAGAGATGTGGAACAAAGATTTGAAATGAGAAATTCATACACAACCACTTCCAAATTTGATTCACTAAAAATCACCTACCTTTACTGACAGAAGAAAGGCATATATATATATATATACAGTTGTGTGTGTGTATAGAGAGACAGGACCTGTGAAGAGAGGGTTTTCATCGTGGGAGCACCAAAGTAATAAGGTTAGTCAGTTATTAATTCAAAAGGTAAGGAATTTGTTTAAAAGTTGGCAGGAAAACGTGAGATGTGATTGTACGGACGTCCACTTAACACATTTTCAACTGCCTAACACTTCCTTAAACTGCTTAAACCTATTTATAATGTGAGAAGTGACACTCACAAAAAGGGTCCCTGACCAAATCAATACTCTCCCTATCATTTTCTTTTTTATAGCCAATGTTGTCATAATTATAGACATTGTTAGTCCTTTACTTTCTGAAAGTAGGATTAGTTGTAGAAATAGTTCATCCTGTTGAACCTCACTTGTATTCAATTTGATTATGAGCATTGTAATGAAGAAAATGACATTGAACAAAAATAACTTCAAGATGCTTTTATTTTAATTTTGTCTCAATTAAAATTCTCAATTTGAGGCATTTAGAACTTGAGGGGAAGAGTAACCCCTCTTCCCAACATCTTTGATCCCACTTTAGGCCAATTATGCCATATTTGGTTCAGGGCAATTGAGTCCTCTAGATATAAGTTTGGTTATTGAATTCACATTCCAATGTGGGACCTCTAGCATGCCCACAAAGAAAACCAAACAATTTTGGCGCGTCCAGAGGGACACCCAAGTGGTTGGTTGAAAATATAAAGGCCGTACAAATGGCCGGTGGGACTTATTTTACATTTTTAGATTAACATAAAACCTGGTGATAATCATGTAACCAATGACACTGCCAGTGGTGAAAATAGCGACTTAGTTGGCCAACAGCCCCTGAAGTGAGTCAATAAAATGAAGAACTACAACATCCTCGTTGGCCAAGTTTTTTCAGAATGTAAATATGGCCAGTCAACAACTCAACGTGAGAACCAAATGCTAATAGCAGGAGACACGTCCCAGACTGTGCGGAATGTAAACATAAAGCGGCAATTAAGAAGAAGAAAATGTCTATTGGAGTGGACCTCGTTAGAGACACCCATATTACCTAATTGACAAGCTAAAGAGGGATTAAAATTTCTATAAATTGTTCGCTTATTGATTGATGGATTTACATACAAAATGAATATGATTACATAGGCTTTGCCATTCTATTTCGGAATTATAAAGGATCAAAGTTGAGTACTTCATTTACCATCATTTCTTAATCAAATAAGGGATGATTAAATTAAATTAAATTTCTATATTTCATTGAGAATATGGTATTATTAGGCAACGCATGAATTAATAATTCTTGAATAATATATAACGAAAGCTCACCACAACGCTACTACTACTCCTGGAAAATTCAATCGATTCCAATCTTCTGGTATATATAGCTGGAGAGTACCTCAAACTAAGCATCCTGTAAAAGTGTAGAAGAGAGAAATTATATATATATATATTGGAAAATTACTAAAAAAAAAATCAGATGATAGTAATCAAAAACACCAAATTGAGCATTTATGACCTAAAACAGCCTCTTCAAACCCTTTCAATATCGAAGAATTCTATTGCAAACGATTGTAATCAATACTGATTCTGAAACTTACCAAGTGACAAATTTAAAAAGAATAACACGCAAAAAAAAAAAAAAAGATTTTTAATTCAATTCTTTATTAAATCTTCATAGCAATGAAGTTGAAGAAAAGAAATTGTGCTTGCGATGAGAGGCAGTTAGCCGGACCGAGCTGGAAGCAGAGGAAAAAGTAGTGAGAGAAACAGATGAGAACGTGAGACTAACCGTCAATGGTGGAGAGAGAGATCGCCGATGAGTGATGGTTTGTGTCGTCTCCCGCCTCCGTCGAAGCGGAAAGGGCAGAGAGGGAGGAAGTAGAGAAATGATATTTTTCTTTACTTTTTCTTTTCTTTTTAAATTTTAAGAATCACTTACCAAAAATGTAAAAAATAAAAATCGTTAAAATTAAAAAAAAAAAATTATATATATATATATATATATAGAGAGAGAGAAAACACAATAGATGAATATGCGTCTGTTATAAATATAGAAGAAATATAGAGAAGACGAGAATTTGAATATCTGAAGCAAAGAGAAATAATTTTCTTGTATTGAAATGATGTATAAAAATTCTCTCAAGAACACCCAAGTTCGGGTCTTGTGGTCAAAGAGGGGGCCACCCTAATATGACCGTTGTCATATTTTGACACGTAAATCAGTAGGACCCATTTGAAGAGTTTATTTATTTACCTGTTTTATTTTTTTTTTTCTTTAAAGAGCTTTTTTTTCCTTCTCCATAATGATAAAACAAACATACACACTATTTTCATCACTGCTTGATTTGAATTAATAATACCTCCATAAACATTAAACTTTTTCTCTTCTGTCCCCACAAATTTTTTTTTATTTTATATTACATCTTTTAGGTTTCTAAAATTTTTAATAACGGTTCTACTAATCTCTCGATTTGTAATAATAATGCCTCCAGAATCTTTTGTCCCCTACAAATTTTATTTTTATTTTTTTATTTTTTATATTACATCTTTTAGATTTCTAAAATTTTTAATAATGCCTCTACTAATCTTTTAACATTTTATCTCTCAAAAATCTATTGCACTCATTAGGGGCATGCATAACGATCTTTATTAATGATTTATTCTCGGTCTTTAGTGTCACATCAATAGAATATTCTTGTAACGAGAACAGTCTTTTTGATTGATATGGCAGCAATCCTTAATTGTACATACAAATTTTAAAAAGAGATGAAAATTTTCATTTTTCTCTTTTTTTATTATTCTTCTCCTTGAGAGAGAGAGAGGAAAATTCAATTTGCATTCCTTCAAATACAAGATTGTTATTGATTCACGTAAACAAGCTGATCAAAAAATTCAATTTGTTTCTCAAAGAATCCATCATTAGCTAAGATTTTACCATCAAGAACAATATTTGCCTTAAGCCGTATAAATAAGGATATCTTTCTAATGCTGACCTGGATCAATAAAAATATGACACGTGTTAAAAGCTTTTTAAAATAATTAATAAAAATTATTTCAATCTTTTTGCGGGGATCATTCAAACGGAAAGATTTTTTTTTTCCCCTCGTGCGTTTGAGATTTTCTATTACAAACCCTTCATATTGAAATCCGTTACTGAAGATGCAAGAAATTCATTTTCATTTTCTCTCTCTAGAACTCTTACACTTCAACAGAATGCCCCAAATCCATCCATTACTTCTCATATTTATAGATACTTACAAACACTAATGGACTACTAGATCCGGGCCCGTTCCTCTGTGGGTTTTGGTCATCTTTGATGGGTTATTCGCGTTCGGCCCATATGGCAGTATTTCTCTATGGGCTGGACCCATTTGCTAGGACCGGTTGCCATGTTCGCGGGTCATATCCGGCCCATGTCACTTCTGGCCTCCTCAACTGCCCCCATAATTACTCCTTGTTTAAAAAGGGAGTAATTATCAAAGGCGTCTCATCATGATGTTGACGGCTTGAGAAACCCTTATGGGGGAATGGGCGGTCGGATCTGGAATCAATGTTCCGGGGTTCGATAAACTTCTCGCCTCCCTGACGCTTCGGCCCTCGGGTCCACTTCGCCTTTATAAGGCTCTAGAATGCCACTTCATGCCTTTTTACCATCTCCATCTCTCTCCATCATCAGTCAAATCTCTCGCTCATCTTTTTAGAACGGTGCTAGATTTCATCCGGTGAAATTCTTCAAGAGTCATTCTTCCAGCGATCTTGCAGTGCTCTTTGTTGCTTTCTACCCCAGAGGTTAGTCTTGTTCCTTTTTACTTTCGGCAGACTTCTTTTTACTCTTTTAGATCCTTCAATTGCTTCCACCATGGTTGTAGATCTAGATGTTCTTCGTATGAGACTTAGACTTCCTGACGACATCCATGTTAGGGTTTGCCCTAGGGATGTTAATATTATGACCGGTGTCGGCCTTCTTCCCGGTGAGGTTTTATTTACTAACCTTCAACTGAATGTCGTTAGGTTCCCTCTGCATCCCTTATTTAATTATGTTTTCAATAGACTGGGGATATCCACCCTGCAGGTAAACCCCAATTTCTTTAGAATCATATCCGTTATGTTACTGTTGATTCGTGACAGAGGTCTGGACCTTGACCTCATAGATCTTCTTCTTTGCTATAAGGTCAGTAAGATCCGAACTGACGAGCCATTCTACCACCTCTACCCGATCGACAAGATGTCCATATGTACAGATACAATCAAATCTGAAAAGGGTTGGAGGGATAACATTGTGGGTGTTAGTGGGGCCTGGTCTTCGCCTGCTGCAGAGGATTACCCAATCCTGAGCGCCTTTGGCGTCTGTTCTGTCTCCTCGTATAAGAAATTCAAATCTCATAAAAACGATTATCCCTGCGAAACATGTGTTCCTCGCTTTTGTACTTTCTTATGTCACTCCTTAGGCATACCTTGTGATGACTTGAGCTACAGTGTTTGCAGGGATAGGAGTAATTACTTGAAGAAATACGTTCTGAACGATATTCCTTCTTGCTCAGACCTCCTCACTTCAGACAACCTTCTAGCGCTCTCATCCCTCGGCTATACAATGAGCAGGCTTCAGATTCCTTCCTTTGGTAGGAGGAAAAATCCTCCCCCAGCCACTACTGCTGCTGGAGCAACCTCCTCTCCTGCATCAGCCTCTTCTTCAGCCACCATCTCTGACACTATCCCGAGTACGGTGGCTATTGATCCTGTTGTTAGCACCCCTGCTACCAACCCGAACACATCTCCACAGATCACTACTACCCTTGCTGCCGCTGGGGGTGATCGGGACAAAGAGCGAGACAAAAGACCTCATCCTGAGGGTGGAGTCAGCCTTGAGGAGGAATCTCTTACAAGAAGGACCCGAGTCTCTGGGCCGAGCGCTTTCTTGCATCGCCCAGTCAAAGCTCCTGCCCCCTCCGGGCCTGTTGCAGCTGGTGCCTCTACCTCTGCTTCAGCTTCTGCCTCTGCCTCTATTCCTGTTCTACCACCATGGGCTCCTCGATACACCCGAACGGATGGGACGTTCGTGAAGCCGAACGAGACCATGTTAAGCGATGGCCAGATCGCCATGGCGTATTATAAGAGCATGTGGACTCCAAAAGACCTTGAGGCGGCGAAGGGTCTGTCACAAAAGGATGTGTTCAGCTGCTTTCCCCAATCTGCCATGGAGGTGATTTTTATTTTCTAACTCATGAATCTTCTCATAATATTTGCTCTTGCCTTCGTCCGACCAGGCGATCGGTTTAACCAATATCCATGCATATCTATGCAAACTTTGTTCGGTATGATGGCTATGCATAAACAGGTGGAAATGGGGAACGCCAGGGCCCGTAAGTTCTCTGATAGCCTGGATGTGGCTAATAAGGAAAACGACATTCTTGCCAGCAAGAACACTGAGATATTGGCTCGGCTTGAAGAAGCCGAAAAAGAAAGAGATGCCTTAAAGAAGGAAACCGACTCTCTTCAGGATGAAAAAGATGCCCTCCAGCTTGAGAAGAGTGTCTGGCAGACTGAACGTGATTCAATCAGAGATGAAAAGGCAGAGCTCCAGCGCCTTCTGGCTGACAAGCAATCTGCTCGGATGGCTTTTGAGAAAAGAACTCTGGACGAGCGCAACGCTCTGATTGACACCATTAGCAGAGTGAATGGTGGAATGCTGGCTCTTCATGCTCTGTTCTCAAGAGTTGGAGCTCTTAGATATGCTCAGGGATTCCGAGATGGTTTCTCCGACCGAGTTCCGGCTGAGGGCCAGACCAGCTCAACTCCGGATGAGATTGATAAGGATCTAGGGATTGACCCTCTGGGGGTCTATGTTGACCCAGAACCCACCGAAGCCGAGCACATATTTGATGAGTGTCAGGAGATTGCTTCCCCCAGGATCACTACAGCTCCTCCTACCGTTCAGCCTCTAATCGCTCTTCCTTCGTCAACTGTGGTATCTCCCATAGTCACTGCTGACGTTGGGCCCCAGCAGAACGACTCTGTTATTCATCTAGATTCCCCACCTCGTGAGGGTGAGATGGCTGAAGGGAACGAGGAGGTGGGTCAGCACAACCAGGAGGCTGTCGGTACTGAGGCAGCTAGCTAGGGCTCTTCCAGATTCTTCGATTCCATACTCTTTTATAGTTATGTGACTTGAATACTTCACTTTTTGTAACCTCAATGCTTATTATGAATGAGATGATAAAACTTCTTTTTTTTCTTCTTCTCTTTTTTTTTTTTGTGTGTTACGCTCTGTTCAAACCCACTTTCAATATTTTTTCTTATTGACTTTATCGTGTGCGTGTTTTTTAGCAAGTCTCTGGCGTTCGGCTTTTGGTGCCAGCTGCTACTTATCTTGCTTAAGTGCCTAGCGCTCGGCTAGAATGCCACTTGCCACTTGGCTTTTCATTTTTTAGCAAGTGTCTGGCATTCGGCTTATGGTGCTAGCTGCCACTTATCTTGCTTAAGTGCCTGGCGCTCGGCTAGAATGCCACTTGCCACTTGGCTTTTTATTTTTTAGCAAGTGTCTGGCGTTCGGCTTATGGTGCCAGCTGCCACTTATCTTGCTTAAATGCCTGGCGCTCGGCTAGAATGCCACTTGCCACTTGGCTTTTCATTTTTTAGCAAGTGCCTGGCGTTCGGCTTATGGTGCCAGCTGCCACTTATCTTGCTTAAGTGCCTGGCGCTCGGTTAAAATGCCACTTGCCACTTGGCTTTTCATTTTTTAACAAGTGTCTGGCATTCGGCTTTTGGTGCCAGCTGCCACTTATCTTGCTTAAGTGCCTGGCGCTCGGCTAGAATGCCATTTGCCACTTGGCTTTTCATTTTTTAGCAAGTGTCTGGCGTTCGGCTTATGGTGCCAGCTGCCACTTACCTTGCTTAAGTGCTTGGCGCTCGGCTAGAATGCCACTTGCTACTTGGTGCTCATTTTTTT